TTCCATTTATTTTCAGATAGAGTGGGGGAGCAGGGGGCGGGGTGGAGAGAGAAACATGGATGTGAGAGAGATATATCGACTGGTTGCCTCCTGCACAACTGCAACCAAGGTGCGGGCCCTTGACTGGACTCGAACTCAGGATTCTGTGATCCTTGGGTCGACACTCTAACCATGGAGCCAAACCGTCCAGGGCAAAGATTTTAAATCCTCATTTCTAGTATTAGGTAGCAGGAAAATGTGTCCATTTGTGAATCGGGTTGCTCATCATTTCTGCTCTCCCCATCTTCCTTTCTCTTCACGCCATGCTATGTTCTAGACACTTACAGCCACTGGCTGTTTCTTCACATATGCAACTCACTCGTCAGTTTCCTTTGTTTCTCCGGTTCTTTTGCCAGAAGATTCCCCTGCTTTTCTATTGGAAAAATTCTTACTCATTATTTTTACTTTTCCTTTGTATTTTATATTTTGACATAATTTCAGAGAGAAAAATCGCAAAATTAGTATAAAGAATTCTCATATGCCCAGCCGGTGTGGTTCAGTGGATTGAGCATCGTCCTATGGACTGAGAGGTTCCGGTTTGATTCTCGGTCAGGGCCCAGATTTGATTCATGCCCAGGATTGAGGCTCGATCCCCAAAGTGGAGCATGCAGGAGGCAGCCGATCAATGTTTCTCTCTCACATCGATATTGCTATCTCTCTTTCCCTTCCTCTCTCTCTAAAACATCAATAAATACATATTTAAAAAAAAATTCTCATATACCTTTTACCCAGATTCCCCAAATGTTAACTTATTAACCTCATTTGTGTCATCCATCCTCTTTCTCTCCTTCTCCCTCCCTCCAACACAATTTTTTTCTGAACCACTTGAGAATAAATTTCAAATGATGCCCTTTTACTCCAAGTGCTTCAGTGTGTATAGCCTAAAAAAGGATATTCTCTTACATAACCATAATATAAATATAAAAATCAGGAAAATAACATTGATGCAGCACTAGGTTTATTTAGATTTTGCCAATTGTCTCAATAATATCCTTTATGGAAAAAAAAAAAAAAAATCCCAGATCGTACATTACATTATTTATTCTGTATCATATCTTTTACTGTTGTCCTTTAGTGGGAAACAGTTCCTCTGTCTTCCTTTGTGTTTTATAACACTGACATTTTTGAAGAGATAGAATCCTTCAATTTGTGTTTGATGGTTTCCTCATGATTATATTCAGGTTGTGAGCTTTTGGTAGGATTATCACTAAGTGAGGTGGTATTCTTCTCAATGAATCATGTCTCACTTTTTTTTAAAGTGAAAGTTCTTCTTCATCCCCCTTCACTTCCACTCCCCTTCTCAGAGGTTATTGGTTGGTATCCAGAATTTTCTCTATGCATTTATATACATACATAACTATATACAGATACATTTATATCCTTTAAAATTATAACAAAAATGAGTACATAATAAGCTTATTGCTCTGCAATTTTTCACTTAACTGTATGTCTTAGAGTTCATTCTATATCAGTAGATACAGATTCATGTCATTCTTTTAAAAGCAACATAGTTTTAAAAAAATAGTATATATGTATCCTTATCTATTTTATTCCCTCTGGGTTAATATTTATGTTGTTACCATTTGGCTATCACAAACTATCTGTGTATATACATTCAAGAACATAGCTCATTTACAATTTTGATAGATAATAGCAAAAAGCTCCTCTAAAAGGCTCATCCAATTTGTATTTCCATGATCACCATGTAGGAGATCATTACGTTTTTTATTATTAGTGACGTTGAGCACCTCTTTACCATAGTTCATGGCCTTTTGGGTTTCTTCTGTGAATTACCTGTTGGTGTGCTTTGCCATTAGAATGCTGGCTTGTCATTTTTTTTTCTTCCTGACAGGTACTTATTTGGTCTCCTCCTTCATAGAAGGGGGCTTCTCCATGTCCCCTAAGAGCCAGTTGCTCCCTCCTGGGCTGTCCCACAACACTGTGCACCCTGCACCAGGCCTTCATTTGACGGGCATTTCATACTGGATCCACTCATTCCACAAGTATTCTCTGTGAGTTCACTATGTGCTTGACCTTGGGTTAGGTGCTTGTGTAGAGATAGGAGCAGGTCATCATATTTTCTACCCTCAAGTTTAGTTTTGAAAGGCAGCTTTGGGCATAGAAAAGAGCATGGGTTTTGGATTCAGACAAGATTTGGGTTTGAATCTGTGTGATTTAGAGCAAGTCACACGACCTCACTAAGTTCCACTTTCTATACTAGTGAAATGGATTAACACCTCCCTTACGGAGTTATTTTGAGAAGGGGAGAGAGACAATCTATCTCAAGTGGCTAGCGAAGGCCTGTTACATAATAGCCTCTCAGTGAAATGAATAATAATTAAAAGGCAACTGTTAAGAGGTCAAAATGATTAGTTAGTTCTAGGTACTACTAATAAACAGAAATAAAAAAGGAGGCAGCTCCTCCCTCTGCAATAGAAGGGTAAGAATGAGTACTATGTGACACTTGCCTAGATCCTGCTACAGTACATCCCTCATCCTGCCTGCAGTCTGTAGCAAGGTAAGCTCTTTTGTCCTGCTCCTCACCCCAATTCAGCTCTTGCTGTTGATGTAGTACCGCCACTGCTCTGGGGAAAGCAGGTGCTTCCTTCCTCAAATAAAAGGGCTCTTTAGAAGATTCTCTGTAAGAGAGGCTTCAGGATAGTTGTGCATGCTACCATCCGTGACCCCAAGTGCAGACCAGAGACAGAACGAGGTAGAAAGAGAAACACTGTGGGAGGTAACCTCAAAGGGAGAGACTCAGAGACCTGGAATGCAGACACAGTTCTGCCTCTGCTAGGTGATTCTTGGCAAGTCTTCCCTTCTGGGCTCCAGTTTCCCCATCACTGCAATAGGAGACTGGATCTTATGATTTTTAAAAGCCATCTAAATGAGAACTCACCATGTAAAGGCAGAGTGTGTATATGTATATACACTACTCTCCTTAGAAATCTCTTTATCCTTGGGACCCCTATAGCTTTTTATACTCACCTTAATGTCAGAGTACTACACTGCATTCCAATTACTGGGGGTTATGACATGGTTTCCACACTGAACTGACAGCTGGTAGATCCACATCTGGTTCTTGGTTTCCTATTCCTTTAACACCTTTATTGAGTGCTCACTGCCTGCCAAGCAATGTTAGATGGGGAAAATACAAAGATAAAATGTCAAAGTTTCTGCCATTAAGGAGATCACAATCCACCTGGGAGAAAACTGTAAGATAAACACAATATAACTGCTTTGATGGAGGTTTATCCAAAATGTAAGGAAGCCTAAGGGAAAGAAAGCCTATTCTGTTGAAATATTTCTCTGAAGAACCACAGAGAATAGGAGTATGTTAGATGGCCAGGGATAAGGACTTTACAGGTAGTGGGAATGCCCTCTATAAAGGCACAGATGTGGGAAAGCACAGTGTGTCCTGGCTACTGCCCAGGATTTAGCATGGTGGTTAATAGAAAGACAGATTCAGCTCATGAATTGCCCTTTATGCCATCCAAAGAACTCTAGGTTTTATGAAATAACCTAAAGGGGGGGGGGGGTGACTAAAGCATTCCGAACATAGGAATGTAGTAAACCTTTGTTGAATGCATAAGTAGTGTGAAGACTGGGCACAGTAATTTGGAGTACTTCTAACCTGTGGCCTTGGGCAACTGAATATCTCTGATCTATTTCCTTTCTTGTGAAATGAGAATTAAAATAAAATCACCCGGGCACTTGATAAAAGTTCAATAAAGTATTTTATTAAGATAACATTTCTTCTACACAACACACATTACCTAAACAATATGTGACTCGTTTCTTAGTTGTTTCTTCCTCTGCAAAATGGGTCTTTCATTTTTACCTTTTCATTATACTCTCTTCCTAGCACTTACCGTAATTTTAATTACAATTTCTAATTATTTTCCTTGCCAAACTCTTAGATTTATAACCAAATTATCTGTATTTTGTGTTCCCAGCTAGATTCTTAAGTCTATTAGATCAGAGACTTTAAAAAATGCACCACTATATTCGGACAGCCACATTCAACTTGTATGACTACAACAACATAGCAACCTGAAGGACGGTGTTAGCTGGGGACTGCCTGCCTCTCAACAGAGGCGCAATAAATGTTGGCCAAAATCACCAGTGTCAAGCTTGTCTGTTGCCAAGGGCCAGCGAATTGATAAAGTCCTTCATTATTTGTAAAGTTGTACAGATGGCTTTATTACGAAACAGTAAAATAAAGTGCGAGAAGAGGAACCAAAGCCACAGGCTCCCAATACGATCGTGTAGCCCCTGGAGGCTTCTAAAGGACCAGTCTTCAATCTTTTGCAAGAGTACAGCTCTTTAAGGTTCACAACGAATTAGATCTGTTGCGGGTGAGAAAAACGGAGCCGGAAACGCCCAGTATGCACGAAGTGCAACTTCAAATTAGAGGTGGAAGATACCAACCTAAGGTCCCCTAGAGCACAGAATTGAGAAGCCAGGCCCTCTCGAAGACGCTTCTCCCTCCCTGGGGGGGAGGGGGGTCCCTAGATCCGCGGGCCAAAACCCCTCCCCTCGGCCCCTTGTCCCTTCCTGGGACTCCGCTCGGATTCCGTGCTACCTGGCACAGGGAGGGTGACCCAAGAGCCCTAGCGAAAAGAAGGCGGAGCCCGCCCTAAGCCCGCCCAGGGGCAGCATGGGAGATGTAGTTTTTCCAGCGGGCACAGACGGGCACGAGCTCCCTCCTGGTTTTGCCAAGTAAGTAGCATCTCTTCCGCGCAAGTCATTCAAACAAAGTGTTCCCTATTATAGATGCAGCCTAGGTATCGCATAAAGAAGCAGTGAAGGGAAAGGGGGAAAGCAAGGAAGGCAAGCCAAAAGATTATAAGCGGGGAAGGAAAGGGTTAACAGATTTCACTCAAGCGTACGGAGGACTGGCAGGGTGGGCGGGGACGGAAGACGACTCCCGGGAGCGGTGTTTTACCCGGAAGTGCCTGCCCTCCTTGAGGGTCCGCGCGGACGCGGTTTCCTTACCTCATTTGTCCTCGCCCCTCCCCGTCCCTCTACGCGTTTTGGTTCCTGGTTGGTGCATCCTGGTCGCAGCCGCGGCAGTGAGTATGTGTGACAGACCCCGCGCCGCCCGTGGCCGGGGGACCCCTGCCCGCGCTTCGCCTCGCCCGCCGGGCTGTGGAACTGGCGCGTGTCCTCTCGCCGGCCTCCGCACCCCCCGTCTGTCCCCTGTTCGTGGCGGGGCGCGCGGCTGGTGACCCCTCAGTGCGGCTCTGCCCCACGCGGCTCGGCTGACCAGCCGAGGTGTCCGCTGTTCCCTACCCGAGGCCGTGGTTCGAAAAGGGCTGGGCGCCCATGGCCTCGATGGGGGTGGCAGTTTTGTCTGCTCTACCTCCGCTACCCCCAAGATTCTCATGCCTTTCGGGGAAGCTGGTTAGTCAGTTTAATGCGGAGGTCCCGCCGCACCGTGAGGGGGCCGGGCCTGGGAGGACGCAACAGTCTTCGGCCAACTCCAGCCTCTGTGGTCAGAAGCAGCAGCTGAGCGCCAGCAACATCCCGGGAGATGTGCCCCTTCCCTCGTGTAAAAGAGGGAGACGTGGACTGTGTTCGCTAAGATTCCCTTTACCCCTCAATCTCGTGAGCCCGCAGTTAACTCCAACTTGAAGGAAGACCCGCTGGGGCAGTGGGAAGCTGGCTGGGAGTCAGCAGGCTTGAGGTGAAGCCGCGGCTCTACCGCAGGTTAGCTGGGGACTCCAGAAATCTCATCTTTAAGCCGAATTTACCCTTATTTCAGATCACAGGGTTGAATTAGGAGACCTTTTAGGCTCAGAGAATAAATACGCTTTTCAGACCTCGTTTCTGTGTAGAAAACGAGAGCGTTCAATTTAGTGACCCAAGTCCCTTCCAAAACTCGATTTTGTGTTGTGAATACTTAGCCTATCACATCCCAAGACTTTTAAGTGGACTGTGTTTATGTTTCGACAGCATTGCATGCTTTTGGGACTTTCAGTATTGCTGTTTTCTAGAGAACCTGAGGGTGGGGAGTGAACTCCGGAAGAAATGAGGATTGTTAGTTACAGGGACAAGATACTCTACAGCAAAAGGCAGAAGAGATGAGGGAAAGGTGAAGGAAGTGCCTTGAGCTAGGATTAATTATCATAAGGGGACTTATGTATCCCAAGAACAGCTGGTCTTGTCTGAATAAATTCAGCATAATTTTCTCCTGTCAACATCTTGTATTCGTCCTCTTTTTGGGGACTATTGTTTCACACTTTTGGGTTCTCTAGGCAGATTTGCTTCAAAGTGAAAGTCACATTTGAAGAATGGACAAACTTCAACACTAGAGTCAACTTTATATTTCTTAATATCGGTCACTGTCAGGATAGTTCACTAAAAGTGAGTCAGATTTTAAGTTGAAAAGAAACTCTGTTAGTCACTTTCCAATGAAAACTGGGTTTAAAATCAAACTGCCAATTTAAATCTTCCTTGAGAATTGATAACCTCTGTTACCAAGAAGAAATATCTAGGCTAAAAGTTCTTTGAAAGCAAATGAGAGCAGAAGGTCTAAAATGATCAGTTGGTAGACTGTTAGAGCAGAAGTATTGGCTTTAAAGATTGTATGGTAAAATCCAAACTCTTAAATAAGCCTTCAGTTGTTTAGTTTAAAAATTCAGTGAAGAAATACTGCTCCCACTTTTGAATGTTGAGAGCCTTTGCAGTTATTCTCTATGGCTGTTTTATATTTGTTAAGCCATTTTAATTGTTTAGGTAAGTTTCATTCCCAAACTAATATTTAAGTTTCTTAACATGACCTAAATCTTTTTTGGTCATGAGATTACTATAATCTTTGAGTACCAACTTGGGAGGCTCCTGGGTGATAAACTGACAAACTCAAATGTATGCTTTGCCTTTTAATTAAAATGCCTTTTTCATGGTTTTTATACTCCACTGGGAAGTAAAATGGATATTGGTGAATTGTATCAAACCAATTCAAATATAGCTTTGAAGAAAGGTGTTTTGTGTCTTTTTAAGTCTTCATTTGAAAACATTAAAAAATTTTTTAAAAGTCTTAGTGCACACTTGGGTGAGAGTCAGGTAAATGTGAATTGATCCTAGCTATATTCTTAACTAGGTATGAAACCTTGGGTAGGCCTCCTTATTTCTTTGGACCTTAGTTTTCTTATATGTAAATTGAGGATGTTGTGTGAGATAATCTGAAAGGTCTCTTATCAGAGACCTTTTTAACATTTTGTGATTCTTGTAGGGATGTTATGTTATCCAGTTAAGTATGCTTGAGAATTGTGTACATTGATCAAAAAGCTGAGATAGCCTTCTGACTCTAGATATATTTCATATTCATCCTCCGAGTATACACTTAAAAAAAAAAAGTAAATTAAATGCATTTGAATGTAATTAAAGTAGTAACATAAACCAAAATAGCCTCAGGCAGACCTTAACCCTGGCATACATAAGCTACATAAATAGAAGAGCAAGTTATGCTGAGCACAATTTTCAAGTACAGAAGATACAAAATCCTCTTAAAGGCCATAGGGGCTAAATTGTTAAATTTATTTTTCTACATTTCAGGGAAAGAGATAAACCCTTAGACCCAAGAAAGTCAGTTTTTATTATATTTCTGTAGTTTATTTTTGGCATACATTCACAGGTGTGCCTATGGCTCTATTCTTAATCCTTTTCCTTTGGGAAGGCTCCAAGAGTAGTACAAATTTGTAACTCTGTAATTTAGCTCTTTAATTTTTTCTGTGCTGCACTGGAATTATGTTTTATCTTAAGTCCACACTGGATCCTCAGGATGGATCCAGTGAGGATTTTGAAGGAAACATAATTCCTTGGCTTCTTTTAGAATTAATTTACCTATTAAATAAAAAGGAAAGGATTCATCTTTTATTTGAATTCTTCTGAAGCTAATATTTCAATATAAACTGATAAATGCTATGAGCATTATTCAGACAGCCACATTCAACTTGTATGACTACAACAGCATAGCAACCTGAAGGACAGTGTGAGAAGGAAACAGGTAAAAAATGTACCTTTTAGAAGAAAAAGGCAAAAGCTTGTTTCTTTTCCCCTGTCTTTATTTAGATGTAATTGAAAAATAACATTGTCTAAGTTTAAGGTGTACAACATGATTTGATATCCTTTTATATGATTACCACATTAAGGTCAGTTAACATCCATCACCTCACGTATTTCCTTTTATATTTTTCAGTAAGAATATTTAAGATTTACTCTCAGCACATTTCAAGTATACAATACAGTGTTAACGCAGAACTTAATAAGCTTTTTTTAAAATCCTCACCGGAGGATATTTTTCCATTTATTCTCAGATAGAGTGGGAGGGAGGGAGAGAGAAAGAGAGAGAGAGAAACATCAACATGAGAGAGACACATTGATTAGTTGCCTCCCACACTATCCCGAGCAGGGCTGAGGACCAAACTGCAACTGAGGTATGTGCCCTTGATTGGAATCAAACCCATGACTCTTTGGTCTGAGGGCCGATGCTCTAACCGCTGAGCAAAACCGGCCAGGACAATCATATTTTTTAAAGTCTTAGCTTTATTGAGGTATAATTGACATACAACATTGTATAAGTTTAAGATATACAACAAAAGTTGCTTTTTTTCTTTCTGTAAAATATTTTCATTAATTCCATTATTGGTTTTTATTTATTTGATTCTTGGGGTTGGCTGGTTTTATCATCAAAACTACCATCAGAATGCCCTGACATTTTGGGCAGAGAATTGATAAACTAAGAAAATGGCTAGTCTTTCTAAATTATATCTGTATAGCCACAGGGAGAGTAGAAAAATAAATTGCCATTGTTATTGTTCTCTTGGCTGTCCCTGGTTTTTGAACAAACGTGAATTATTTTTTCCAGAGCTCTCATTTTGATCAATATTCCATCAGTACCTAATTGACACATCTACTGTGTAGATTTTTGATGATATGTTGATGATATGAGAATAGTTGGGAAAAAAAAAGAAAAGGAAAGTTCTTTCAAAACTAAGAATTTTGACTCAATTTTAGGTCCTTAGTAAGTTTATATTTTATACATGTCTTTATAGCTGGCACAGAAGTAAACCAGGTGTATCAGATGTTTTTCTGTATTTTTTAAATTGTTGTTAAGGATTAGAAAGCCATGAGATTCATTTTCTAAATTGAGAATAAAAATCTACACAAAAACAGTAAATGTAATTGCTACCCATTATAGATGTTAGTCATAGCTGAAGTGATATTCCTATATGAGAATGTATACCTGACAAGGTGAGATCCAGAATCAAGGAGAAGATGAAGAATGGATGGAATAGTGAGAATTGCCTAAAATATATTTGTGATTTTTAACATTTTGGAGAAAAAGTATTTGGTGTCTGAGGCAGAGGATCACAACCCTTTTCCCATTTATAACATACCTACAAAATACGACGTTTCCTTTAATAACTATAATTCAATTTGTTGGTAGTATTTTTTATTTGGGAAAGGTGGGCATTATTAGAGTAGGTCATAATTGGATTTAGAGATCCTTGAAAGAAAAGATGCTCTAAGAGAAAAGGCATTTTAAAAAAAATCCTCATCCAAGGATATGTTTTTATTTTTAGAGAGGGAAAGAGAAAGAGAGGGAGGAAGAAAGAGAGAGAGAGAAAAAATGATGTGAGAGAGAAACATCTTTTGGTTACCTCCCATACACACCCTGACCGGGGATCAAACCCAAAACCTTTTGGTGTTTGGGGCAATGCTCCAACTAACCAAGTCACTTGGCCAGGGTGAGAAAAAGATATTTTAATATGTCTTTGAGAAAAGTGATGGCCTTTGTATAAAAGTTAGCACTAAACAGGCATGATCTGAACTTTTAAAATACATTTTTTGTATGACTTTCTCTTTTACAGCATCATCGTAACTGACTTTCCATGATGTTTGGTGGTTATGAGACTATAGAAGCATATGAAGATGACCTATATCGTGAAGAATCATCTAGTGAACTGAGTGTCGATAGTGAGGTGGAATTTCAGCTCTACAGCCAAGTTCATTATGCCCAAGATCTTGATAATGTCATCAGGGAGGAAGAACATGAAGAAAAGAACTCTGGGGATTCTGAATCATCTAGTAGTAAGCCAAATCAGAAGAATGTAATTATCCTTTCAGATAGTGAGGTCATCCAGCTGTCAGATGGGTCAGAGGTCATCACTTTGTCTGATGAAGATAGTATTTATAGATGTAAAAGAAAGAATTTTAGAGTCCAAGGAAAAGAAAAGACCCGAGGTTCGACTGCTCTTCATTCTAATGAGTTGGATGATAAGCAATGCAAGAGGGATATTGAGAAGCCTAAACCTGAAGAGAGATCGAGTACAATCCGAGAGGTTATGATTATAGAGGTCAGTTCAAGTGAAGAGGAAGAGAGCACCATTTCAGAAAGTGACAATGTGGAAAGCTGGATGCTGCTGGGATGTGGAGTTGATGATAAAGATGATGATATCCTTCTCAATCTTGTGGGATGTGACAACTCTGTTAATGAAGGTAAGTATCATATTGGCCCTTTTGAAAAGTGGTATCATCTTTAGAAGACTGCTTTCCTAGACAAAAAGGTTCTGCTCCATTTAATTCCTCACCTTTTGGTCTTGTTTTTTGCCTTGTTTCTTATGAGACTCACTTACTCTAATGGCTATTCTAAAGGTGGTTTGTCTGAGCATCAGAAAGAGTATATCAGAATATCAAAGACACTCTGCTTCTGCTGTAAGCAGTTTCATAGGTGCTTCTTCCTATTTGGCTAGAGCCAATTCTGGACCTGAAGTCTTAGTTCCCCTCTTTCTCTGCTTGGTACCACAGGTGAGTACTCCATTCACCTCTGACACTGGTCCTGTGCTCATTCAGCCAACTCTGTTGGGACTGCTTCTTCCTAAGTGATATGCTTACCTAGGACTTATCCAGGTAGCAAGCATGGGGAATGCCTGGTACACAGAGGATATGGAATTAGTATTCAGATTTTAGGAACTCCGCAATCAGTAAGGTAGGAAACTGAAAAAGCTATAGGTCTACAGTGGACTGTAAGAAAGAATGCAAATTCTGAGAGCCACATCATTGAAGATTGAAATTTCGGTGTTAGCTTTGTCTCCTCTGTCACATGTAGTCATCTAGTATTGATACTTACCCTTTTAAAATGTCTCTTTCACTTTTCACCTTTGATACCTAAGGCCTAGTCTCCTGCAGTAGTGTCTTAAATGATCTTTGTTTTTTGTATCATCCCTGCACACTGTTGTTAAACTAGTGGTCCTGAAATATCCTTTCACTAATAGTACTATACTGCTGCTTTAAAACCTTTCGTGGTACCCACTTGCCTTCAGAGAATGATGATATTGAATGTAGATCATGCTTTGGAGCTCTAGAGATTGACAAACTTTTTTATAAGGAGCCAGATTGGAAATATTTTAGGTTTCCAGGCCACAGGATCTCCTAATTACGTAACTTTGTCCTTATTGTGGCATAATACCAAAGAAATGAAATGGTTATTTCTTTCTTTTGTTTCTTGATTTTTTTTTTCTTTTTAAGAGAGGCATGGGGAGAGAGAGAGAGAGAGAGAAACGATGTGAGAGAGAAACCATCCATCGCTTGCCTCCCACATGCACCCAACCGGGAATCAAACCCGAAACCTGACTATGTGCCCTGACTGGGAATTGAAACTCTTTTGGTGTACTGGAGGATGCTCTAACCAACTGATGCAAACTGGCCAGGGCTGGGATGGTTATTTCAACAAAATCTTATTTATAAAAACAGGTGGCTGCCTCAGGCTGTAGTAGGCCGTCTTTGAGAATTTGACAGCAAAAGGAAGAAAAGAAGTAGAATAATACATAGAAAAGAAATAGAACATAGAGCAAAATCCAGTAAAGTTTTGTCAGAATAAGGGAGATGTTATAATGTTTTAGGTAGAAGGAAAAATGTTTGAAGGAGAGATTAAACCTGTTTGGTAGATTAGGGTGGGAGGGGCCAAGTAAAAGATGGGGTCAGGTGTATATGTCTGATTAGTCTTAAAATGAAGAGATACACCATTAATCACTAAATTATCAAATATTTGTAGAGGAGAGAACTTCATTGTTTTGGAGATATTTGTATGCATTTTTATTGAGGTGAAAGTAACATAACAAAATTAACCATTTTAAGGTATTCAATTTAGTGACATTTAGTTCGTTTGAAATGTTGTAGAAGCGTTATGTCTGTGTAGTTCCAAAACATTTCACCACATACAAAGGAAACCATGCACCCATTGAAGTCATTTTCATTGCTTCCTTCTCAGACCCTGGCAACCACTAATCTGTTTCCGGTCTCTATGGATTTACCTATTCTGGATATTTCATGTAAATAGAATCATACAATATGTGACCCTTTGTGTCTGGCTTTCAGTTAGCATAATATTTTGGAGATTTGTGCATATTGTAGCATGTATCAGTTACTTCATTTATTTTTAAGGCCGAATAATATTCCATTCTATGAATATACCACATTTTGTTTATCCATTCATTTGTTGATGGACATATGGTTATTTTCATCTTTTGGCTTTCATGAACAGTGCTGCTGTGAACATTCACTCATATACACGTATTTATTTGAATACCTGTTATGGATATTCTTTTGGTTATATACCTAGGAGTGGAATTACTAGTATTTCTATGTTTAACTTTTTGAGAAATTGACAAACTGTCTTTCATAATGGCTGCACCATTATGCATTCCTACTAGTAATGTATGAGGAGTCCACTTAACTGCATTGTTTTTTATGGTAACTTACCGTGTTGCACATTTCTATGTGATTTGCACAATTCTGTTTGGTAGGGTCTTTGTCATTTCTTTTTTTTTTTCTCCTAGTATTCTGTTTTTTTTGTTTGTTTTTTATAGCTGTTACTTATGTTGACTTATGTTTTTCTAGAATACCAGAATAGCTTTTTTGCTTAAATTTTTATTTTCTTTTGTTGTTAATTCTCACTTGAGGATATTTTTTCCAACGATTATTATTATTTTTTTTAGAGAGTGTTGTAAAAGGAAGGAGAGAGAAAGAGAAACATCAATGTGAAAGAGACACATCCATTGGTTTCTTCCCATATGGGTTCTGGCTGGGGCTGGGGCTGGGGTTGGAACCTCCAACCCAGATACTTGCCCTTTATCAGGATCAAACCCAAGACCCTTTGGTGCATGGGTGGACATTCTAATCACTGAGCAACACCAGCCGGGGAAGAAACTGATTCATTCGTATATGTATGTATTCCTTGGAAGTTTAGTGTGTGTGTATTAGTAAAAGTGTTTGATACAAGACCTGAGTAATTCCAAGTAATTCTTGATTCTAGACATTAAGTGTATGCTTCTATTATCCATGTAGAAATTTATCCTGACTCTTTGCTCCTAGGATTTTTTGTTGTTGTTGTTCTAGCCAAATTTAAAAAAATTCTGCAGTTCTGTAAATTAACTTGCTTGACTCTTGTAAATTCAAATATATATCCCTCTTTTATTTCCTTGATCTGCTAATGTCATAATCCTATTTCTTTCCATTTAATAAGCAGTATATTCAGTACTAATGCCAATTTGAGTGTGTTGTTACTCACTAATCATTATTATCTTGCTCATAAATAGATCTGGGGGTAGGTCTGATTCAGTTTATATAATAGTCTTTAGAGAAAAGATATTTTTCATGTTGGTAGAAGTTTGTGGAAATTCTGATATACTTTTGAAATGATGATTGTTAAATAGCAGCAATAGCTAATTTGTATACTGCGCTATCTCCCCTCAACCCCCTCACTCCAAACTATGGCATATTTAAAATATCAATAAGATATAAGAAAAGAGATTATAAACTCCTTGAGGGCAGATCTTTTCCATTCTCAGAAGCCTCCTTATTATATTTAGAGTAATTCTTTGACATATATTACTTTGTTTTTCATTAATTGCTAAATGAACAACATTTATTGAGCATCTACTCCATGTGGAATACATAGAGGGGGTTTAAAGTGGTTAAAAAAAAACAAAAACACATAGTTTTAGCCTTAAGTGGCTTGTGTTTCAGTGAAGAGACAAAATATAATAAGAAGCTAAGTAATTTATGGAAGTCTCTTCTTAACCATGGGAGTTAAGTCTCAAAATCCTAGTGATAAATGTGATTGAAAACAACTCTTTACAAAATATAGGATTAGTGAATTTGAGGTAGTACGTGAACATATGAAGAACTATATAAATACATATGTATTTCCCACTCACTGTTGTTAAATTTGTAATAATGAGTACAGCACCACTCTTGCTCTGTGGACAATTCAGGCTCTCCCCTGCTACTTCCGTTTCAGTGAAATGTTTACATTTGTTTTATTTTAATATGCAATTAGAGATAATAACTCTATCAGGCAGATAGTACACAACTAGGAGGCATTGTTTTTCCCTCTCTGTTTTTCCTCCAGTGTTCATCACTTTTCTGATTTTGAATGTTTTGATTAGTTTCCTGAGGTTCCATTGAGGCCTTTGGAATGTAACATTTATGTAACCTGTTCAGCCTAGCCTTCCTCAGTACATATGGTTTTATGATGAGGGCTTTGCTTATAATACATTCATGCCAAAACATAGGCCTTCAGTGCATGTTACATCTGGCTCTCAGCTTTCTCTCCTAAGGGATATAGGAGTTTGTTTCTAAGATCTAGGCTTCATTTCCTTCACTTTTCTTTACTCTTTCCTATGGCTTCTTTATGTAAATGATGCCTGCTCCATCATTTGTTTTCTTTTTAAAATTCTCACCGTTTATTTTCTTTCTTTTACTGACCCCAGTAGGATTGACTTGCAATTCTCATATATTAGAAAAACAGATCACCTGGTTGAAGAAAAAATGCACCAGAGGAAATCAACATGGTTTTGTTATTTGTGAGGGTGATCTCAAGTTTGGGAAGGATTATTGTATAAGATGGCCAAATGATGGGGAGAGACAGTAAATGCTGTAAGAATTATAGAGAAGTAATCAGCTGCTTATTTTCCTGCATTAGGGAAGGGATATTACTAGCCCTGGGAGTAATTGCTAACCCTTTGTTAATTTTTTATTTTGGAAATTTTAAAGTATACAAGAATAGAATGTTATGATAGACTCAGTATCCCATAAAGCAACTTCAACAAATTATCAGCTTATGACCAATCTTTTTCTGTCTCTAACTCCATGCCCCTGTATTATTTTGAAGCAAATCACATACATTATTTCATTTATTCATATACAGGATGGGGCAAAAGTAGGTTTACAGTTCCTATGGAAAATAATACAATAATTAATAAATAATAATACAATAATAAACTCTGTTGTATTCACACTGTAAACCTACTTTGCCCCACCGTGTGTGTGTGTGTGTGTGTTTGTGTGTGTGTGTGTTTGAAGAAAAAAATGCACCAGAGGATATCAGCATTATAATATGTATTTCTGAAAGGTAAAGATTCTTCTTAAGAAACAATCATATCATTATCACACCTAAACAAATTACCAATAATTCTTTTATCATTAAATGACTAATC